AAAAAAAAAAAAAAAAAACCTAATTTCAGAAGAATACCAAATTCTACAGTAGTGTAAAATTTCAATTATTTGTAATGAACCTCGACAATTCAATTAGATACCTCCCTGAAACTCCAAGTAAACCAATTCTTTTACAAGAATCATCATCAAAATTCAACACATGAACAACCAAAATGCCACCTCCATTAAAGAAGGATTCAAGCTTGAATTCTCAACTTCAAGTTCAGAACTTGAACAAAATATGAATCAACGGAACAAGAAAGACTCAAACTTGAACAACATCACGAGTTCGAACAGACGTGAAAACAAAAGGGCTCACCTTAATTAGAGCATCACGATCGCAAGAAACTCCGAGCTTTAGTTTTAATGAAGTAATTGTCTGAAACCCATGAAGCTTTTCTCCGCCATTGCTGTCCTAATCGCTTACAAAATTCTGCTGTGCATTCTCTTGTTTACTCTCTTTTAATTCTTCCCATGAAAAGAGGGAAAAAAAAGAAACTGTGAATCAGACCTCTTTCCTCTGTTTTTCTCTTTCTGATCGTAGTTCTTCGACACTCCCTTTCTCTCTCTCTTTTTCGTTCCGTCTAATTCTGTTGGGTGCAATAAGCGACGTCCGACTTCAATGAGTTGTACTCTGTGCATAATATGTTGTACATGAGTCTGGTGGGAAGAAAAACAGAGTGGCAAAATCAACATATGATTAATTGAAAGTTTATTTGTTTCAAATTCGTAATTCTTGCGTGATTGCTACTTGCGATTTTATTGGCCAAATTGGGAATTGAGGTTGAGTGCGAAGATGTCACTCTCGTGCAGTGCGAGTGGGAAATGAGGACATTAAGGTATTTCTTTTACTACTATTTTAGTTGTTTAATATGTTTTGGTAAGAACTAAGATTCTTCACATAAATTTTGAGAGGGAAGAACAAAAACTCTTGTGGTGGTCAACACAAAAACACCTTCGTGGATAATGAGAGAATTGTGTCAAACGGTTTATACGATAAAAATATTTGGTAAAATCAAATTATTAATTAGTTGAAAAAAAATTAATGATTCCACCGCCTCCATTCCTACCGCCACCCTCGCTCTCCCTTCTGCTGCCACCACTGCTCCTGCTGGCCCACTTTCAATTGATGCACGTCGTGGAGTAGGGGCCCCAATCCCTCTCCAACTTACTCCTCCTATCTTTCATCTCCCTTCTCAGACAATCGAAACCCTGAGATTATTTTCAACCCTAAAAGATAGAAATTTAGATTTCTCGATTTCATTTTGTGAAAAATTAATTTTAAATGAAGGGTAGAAAAGTAATATCAACATAAAAAGATGTACTTTTCAAACCTAAATCAAGTAAGTTAATGGACTAATTGAATTGATGGATGACCTTTGATAAAATCAAGAAAATTATAATATGCTCAATTCATTATTGCAACCAAACTTACCCTTACAACATTTATCAAACACATTCTTGATAAATATTGCACAAAACCCCTTTTTATTATCTCTTACTACAAACTCCTTATGGTACCCAGCTCAAAGGAGCCTCTCAATCTCATCTTTGAACTCCATACAATTTTTAGTGGAGTGCCCATAGTCTCTTTGGTATCGACAATATGGGTCATCTCTTAAGGGCATATATCATCTTTTCCTTAGAATGGGGTTAGGCCAAGGAAATATCTCTTTATCATCCCGCTTTTCTAAGACCTTGAATACCTCCTTGTAAAGCCATGCTAGGGGTACGTATTGGTTGTACCTGTATCCCCATCCTGTCCCGTTTTCTCTGCCTTACTTTTTTGTTCGGGGACCTCTTCTCACTTGAGCGAGGTTTCTCCTCAGCTCACTTGACATTGGTCTTGTAAATTTGTAGAAAATTGGCCCCAGGCTCTTCCATGTTGATGTAGTTGTTGCACCTTCCCAAGAGCTCTTCAAATGACTTTGTTGGTCTCTATGCTAGTGAACTCATGCACGGTCCTGGCAGAAGACCTCAAGTAAGACCTCCAGCCCTGATCTCCTTTAAGGTTGGCGGGACCTCTACGTACTCGTTGGTGTAGTGAGCGACGTAGTCGCGGAGAGGTGTTACTTCTTTCAGCTGCATGCAAATCAAATCCAAGTAAGTATTTCATAGTTTATTGCGTTTGAGAACTGATTGACGAACTAGGAGATGAGTTTAGCGAAATTGTAGATCGAACTTGAGGGCAGTTGATGGAATCAATCCTGCACCGATACTTTTAGAGTGGTAAGAAAAAATCTACTAATAACAATATCGTTGTACTTATGAAGCACCACGATATTTTCAAATGACCTCAAATGCCTAGCCAAATCTACCGAGCCATCATAGGACAAGTTTAGCTAGCGAAAATTATTAAGTAGGTCGGCCTCGAGGTGCCATTCAGCCCCCAAATCGGGCCTATAAATCCCTTACTTGAGTTTCTAGCATATTTAATGTGGTATGACGAGTTGATCGTGACGCCACTGCTGACATCGACCTCTCATTTGTTTTTTTAGATCCTTTGATGCTGCGGCTATGGAGTAATGGGCCTCGGTTGACTTGACCCCTGAGATCGGGCCAGCACCTCAGCAACAATTCTATCAATCTCTTCCCTGGTGAGCTGGATGACTTGATTTCCTTACGGGACCTCCTGTCCCTCGGTATTTAGAGGCTTTCATTTGACCTGATTTTGAGGTTGATCGACCGCCAAGTTGGCTGGCTATTGAATGACGGTGCTTTGAACCGCGACTAACTCATGTCCTCATGGGGGCTTCTGTACTTTTCTGTAGGACCATCGGCTCCTTGCCTGCCGGGGGTTCTCCCAGTATGCCTACCACTGGGTTATTGTTGTGTGACTTCGACCAGCCAGATGGAGGTCCTATCCCCATCGTCAGGGACTCCTAGTCATCATTCATATCTTTCAATATTTTTTGTTAAAATTATCTGCCACCATGATCTTTGAACTGACAAGCTTGTTGTGAAAAAAATCTTTCAGCCTCTTATAGCCAGTAAGAGACTTGAGTTTTCCCACACATGGCTCAAATTTGATGTGTCAATTTTTCATAGACTGGGTTAACCGATCAATCCTCGAACGTCCACCTTCCTCAAGCTCTGATAATCTGAAATGCGTCGGGTGGGGGTTCTAATGTGGACACTTCAACGCTTAAGTCGGAATTGGTTTGAGAGAATAAACTGATATATTATGGATTTAATCTGTGTATGTGCGATTAATAACATAGAACCTAACTACCCATATACAAGTTAGATGACTTGATGTCCAACAGAGTCCTTGTTGGGAAAGAGATCCAACCTAATTCTCTTTCCTAGCTTACCACTCCTAAACCTAGGCAATTTGTTTAACAAGCTATACTTTTCATCCTACTAGGATTCTTACCCCCATTGTCATTGTAGATAATTAAATTTTGAGCCAATAAAATGGCGACAAGTGTCAAATTCCATGTCATAATCAATTTTCTATTTTATTTGGGAAATTAATCAAATTTTAATTCCTAAATTAAATAGCTAATTAATTGATTATTTAATATATATTGTTGGCAAATTAAAGATTGTCACGTGTATATTTTGAAGGCCAATTAAAGAATGCCACATGTTATTTTCTTGGAGAGTAAAATAAATATTTATTTCTTTTAATAATTATTAAAGAGATAAATAAATGGAAATTCATGGACCAATCAGATTGAAGTCTTCTTTTCCGAGACTCTCTCTCCTAGTTATCTCTTTAAATTATTATTAAAAGATAAATATTGGAAATTATGGACCAATCAAATTGAAGTCTTCTTTTCCAAGACTCTCTCTCCCAACACCTATAAATAGGGACCCTCCCTAAGGTGAAGAAAGACACAATTCATATTCAAGTTCCAAGTTCAAGAGCTCTAGAGAATTCTCTCCTCAAAATTCAAGTGTTCTTGAAGATCCAAAGGCGTTCTTGAAGTTTCGAAGGAAGATTCAAGCACGTTCAAGCCCAAAACCGACGTTCAATCCGGAAACAAGCTGCCAAGCCTCCGAATTGCGTTATTGAAGTTCAAGTGTTTTGAAGATTCAAAGGCGTTCTTGAAGACCCGAAGGAAGATTCAAGCGCATTCAAGCCAAAAACCGACGTTTAATCCGGAAACAAGCTGTCAAGCCTCCGAATTACGTTATTCAAAGTCAAGACCGACGTAAAGAAGATCAAAATCAACTTTGCGGCGAAGACCAAGGACTCGTGTTCTTCACGTTCTTGGGAAATCTCAACTTTCGATTCGAGATCAAGCTATCAAGCCCTCGAAGAAACGTTATTTAAATCCATATTCAAGACTTACGGAGATCAAACTGAAGATTAGTCTCCAAAAGTCTCAAGTCTATTTGAAGATCGTTCTTGAAGAAATTAATCAGAGGAATAGTGGAGATTTGTAATCCACTATATTTCTTTTGATTCGTAGAAAATCATTTGTACGAATTTCTCGTGTTTATTAATTCAATAATACGAAATTTTGCGTTACAAATTTCTGGCACGCCCGGTGGGACCATCTCTACCTCTCATCTCTTTTCTTCAAGATATATAAGTGCAACGATGACTCCTCCCAAGTCAACTTCTTCAAGTTCTGCAAGTGAAAGTGTTGGTGTCGTAACAAGAAGTATGGCGAAAAACAAGAGTGTATCTCTGGAAGGGAATTCTCACCAAGTTGAGGAAAATCGGCCGCCTTTGATGAACCAAGAGGAAGAT